CTTTTTGCATTCTCTGATTTTACAAAGATTCCCAAAAACTCCGAAACGACACTCGATGTCAAGCATGACAAACAATAAAGACGCTTAGAAGGGAATAGAACAGACGTAAAGAGGAGTAACTAAAAACCTTCATAAATGGTCGGCTAAAAGCACCCTTCACCTGACCTTCTGGAAATTGCCCATGTGGACCCTTTCAGTAAATACATATCCTGTGTACTGTATGTTGTATTCTACAATCTTTCGGGGAGGGATTTCCCTGTCTGGGAAAATCCCCAAGCCCTCGAGAATAAGCTTAAATACACCTAGGTAGCTGAATCAACTATTTTAGATGCCAAGAGAATACATATGTATACAAATGTACAAATGTACAAATGACCCTTGCTCCGAAAAATCAAAACGGTTTCCAATTTGATATACTCTGAAAACGTGGGGGAGTGAAATACGGTCCTAAACCCACTCTCCCCATAAAAGCTCCATATGCCCCGAAGTCTGGACTTCTATAGATACTCGGAGTTGATGCGACGAATTTCAATGTTTTGATTTTATTCCAAGTTATTTTAGTTTACAGAAGTCCATTGTTTTCTATTTTGTCATCTGTTTATGCTCTAAATATGTATTTCTACTTCAAACAGTAAAGCAATTACAGTATATGATATCCTATATGATATATACTATAAATCACAAGGATCGCCCCAGACATCCCATGACCGATTGTCCCCCGAACGGGGATGGCGTGGCTCTGCTTCCGGCGTAGCGGTCAAGGGGAATTCCGACTCCGATGTTTTCGATCAGAACATTACCTTACAAAAATACATCGTGAGATTTCCAAAAGGTTTTGGAGATGTAAAATGTGCCCTTAGAGTGGCGTAGTACAAGCGAGGGCAATCACGCGGGCTTATCGACTCCCCTCTTCCCCAACTTTTCCTCCCTTGAACACTCACACTTTTGGATCCCTTATTGGCCCTGAAATATTGGCCCCCGTTTATTTCCTCCTAATGAAGTTTTCGCTATCGCACACCTTCCCTACTTTCTTTCGATCCTCCTCCTCCCTGAACCTTAGAACTCAAGCTCCGCGCCGAGAACCAACCGACTCGAAGCTGGGAGTGTGCAGGTACCCAATGGGTCGAGGTCACGGATAATTATTGGCTCGCGATGAGCCCCCCTTCTCCCAACAAGACAAATGGCGGCAATCCTTCTGCTCCCAGACAAATTCGCTTTGTCGCAACCGACGGACAGCCGCAAACCAAGCGCCGCCGCGTTAATGCCGCGTATGTGGACCCCATTGGGTATAAGTTTTCTCGGTCGAGACGCTGACGTCACTTCGTTTTGGTTTAGTTGTCTAACATGTCGCCGGCGCAAGATTCGATGTTCCGGTGAACAGCCAGGTAGGATGCACAGCGTCGCGATTGCGGATATCTTGCTGACAGGGGATATGAGGGAAGTGTGTAAGACATGCTCCGACTACAAGCATGTCTGCCTCGGATACACCGAATCGACCGCACACCTGCGAACACAGTCCGACTCCGCATCTCGAGCGCCGCCGCGCCTTTCTGCTCCGAATGAATTGACAAGTCAGCGCGCTCCCCGGGCAGTCGAAAGCAGCTCCCCCGAACCGGTGCCAACAACGATACCGAAGGCCCCCGCGGATAAGTCGACCAAGACGAAAGCGCCCGGATCAAAGGATATTTCTGGGGATACTTCTTCAATCACGAACAAGGAATTGGATACACAAGCCGTTGGGGACAGCCCAGCGAGTGGTCGTACCTCTGTGAGCTCAGGGAGTCGTACGCATGTCCCGTATTTTCGATACTTCGGCCCTACCGCGATTGTACCGGGGTTTAAACAAATGGTTGTGCAAGTCCGAGGTTCTCGCAAGAGTAACCCGTCTACGTCCTCAGACTCCCCGTCTCCTCTTCGGAGCCCTAAACCGTCAGAAATTCCCACAAGACCCCAGGCCACCGCGGATAATCGGGACAATCGCGATGCAAATATCCCATTTTATGACCGAGATGATGCGCTTCCAGTTTCGAATCTTGTATCCCATTTGTGCGAACTCTTCTTTGCCCACCTGGGCTGCAGCTTTCCTTTCCTACAACGAGAGAGGTTTCTCCAGGATCTCAAGGAGAAAAAGGTCGACACAATGTTGGTAGACGCAGTGTGTTCGTTAGCTGCGAGATTCTCAATACACCCATCACTTGGTCCTCCACAGGCTCCTTCTATCGATCGCTCGCAGCCGCCACTCGACGACAAAAAGTGGGATCGTGGTTTGCCCTTTGGTCATCGTGCGATGAGCGCTCTCGTGGATTCACTGCCATGCCCGACTCTTTCTGCCGTCCAAGCCTGCTTATTACTCGCCTATGAACAATTCGGATCAAATCATGACAGTGGACTCTGGATGTACCTTGGCATATCAATTCGCATGGCACAGGACCTTGGACTGCAGAAGTTCCAAGGCCTTAAATATAATTATGGCAAGAACGGCGTTACACCGAGTGAAGTGATGACAGGTCACGCTGGGAAACTAAGAGAGGAACAATATGACGATCTTGATGTGCATCTGACACCCAAGACTACCCCACAGCCTTTGGTTGAGGAACGTGCCCGGGAGCGCGAACGGGTAGACTCGTTCTGGAGCATCTTTTTCTTAGACCGAGTCATCTCTTCGGGTACTGGGAGACCAGTGACACTACGCGATGAGGATATTGAACTCTGCTTCCCTCTTCAGTCTGAATCCCAGCTACCAAATGGGTGGCCCGCGCCCTTCCCACCGCTTATTCGGATCATTCATCTGTACGGCCGGGTGACCGACCTCATTAATGGTATTCAGGATGTCAAGCTTGTCACACCGGACACGTTGAAGATGTTAGCTGGGATGGAAAGCGATCTCACCGGCATCTATCAACGCTTGTCCCCAAGACTTCATTTCAACGCGGCCAATTTTCAAGCCTACGTTAAAGCCAAGGAGGGAACCAATTTCATTCTTCTCCATTTTTGGTTTCATACCCTCATCGTTCTCCTTCACCAACCGACGTTGTTGAATTCATTCGGTGGATCAATCCAACATCTCTATCCCAATAGTCGTGAGCTGTCGATGTCATCTGCTAAAACTATTGCCGATATTTTATCCTTCTCGGAGCTAGTCGATGGGAAAAGCTTCATTGGCAATCCTTTCACGAGTCAACCGATGTATATTGCGGCGTGTGCATTCCTCATGGAAAGTGCTTACTATGCGTCTTCATCCTCGGGGGTTGAGTCACACCAACCTCGGCCATTGTTGGCGAATCAATCCAGTGGTTTCGTGATGCCCACTATGGAGTCCTCCAATGGCACAGAACGGAAGTCTACGGCGAAGCATATCCTGCTTGCTTCTGCCGCCAAGGAGAATTATCAGCGATGTTATAAGGCTCTGAAAGCACTCAATACATATTGGGAAGGCACTGGGTATATTTTGACAGTGCTGGATCAGAAGGCCAAGGGCATCGTCGACCCCCTCCTTTACGCCGTGGAGGATATGGAAAATACCGAAGGTTTCTCCCCAGGGCAACCTCTTGGGCCAGGAGCTTGGCGTGCGGGCAAAGCACCGGCAGACTCTGGCTTCGATCCAGAAAGAACAGCCGGGGTAGCGGATATCTCATCTGACGGGAAATGGTCACCACACATTGATCCAAGTCAAGGTTTGTTGGATCCGTTAATATCCATGATAAACATAAGGCTAATAGCTTACGCCTCCGAACAGCTATCGGTTGGGCACTCACAGGAGCAACGAATTCTTCGCAGCCCAACTTAAGCTTACTATATCAGATGTCCACGACTGAGGCGGAGACCCCGTCCAATAGACCGACATACTCGTCGCAGTACAGCCACAGCTACCCAGCCATACCAACAAATGCCGGCGAAGGGCCAAGTTCTACGTACCCGCAATCTATTGCACCAGCCAGGGCCAACGAAGAAATGACACCCTCGCTCACGACAGCAAATACTAAATACCCCAGTGCTCAATCCAGAACAATTAACACCGACCCGTCGTATTACATGGGCATGGATTCCGCGTATCCCGGATCAAACGCGCGAATAACACGCCCGGTACAGACAGCACATTCTACTTTTCCCGGGATGCTATCCTCCGAGCCACCAACTTCACATATGGATACCCAGCCCCCCGCCTATGATTACTCGATACCTCAAGCGACAGCCGAGCACCAAACCAGAAACCAAATGGGGTCTCGCGACCCAGGTGCCGATCTCCAGGCGACCATGGATGACGCGAACGGGATGATGATCGGGAGTCATGAGGTCGATATGAACTCCATCCACGATCACGACTCTTTCCCGTTCGGTAACGGTGAGATCCTTCCGTGGTTGGAATATCTCCCTCAAGATGTCCTTAGTTTCTTCGGCGACCATTAAAATTGTCCGCTTATGAGCCTTGATGATGTGTCACGGCCTCCGTATTGTTTGATGTTCTTTTCTTCTTGTAGTGCATATTTTATTTATATTTTTGGGGCAGTTTGCATTTGCCTGTGTTCTAGCGACTGGCTTCTGCTTTCTTTTGTATATTTCGGATCGAGATATGCTTTTCTGGCGTCGGGTTGGATGATATCCTTGGCCAGCACTTAGATCGCCTTGTTTTTGGTTGTGTATTTTCAAACCGGCACGTGTGACTTGCAGTTTAAGTGCAGTCATTCTCAATAGACACAAAACAATACTTTTCTTGCAGATTGATTCCTCGAAATCCCACCGGAATATCACGTTCGATACCTACGATGTACTTGAGTCTATCGTGTGGCTTGATGATCGACAATGTCAGTCGGTTGCCCGGAACAACGGGGCGGTGAGCGACTTGTCAACACACGTTGAGAGTCCTTGGATTCCACGTTGACACAAAGGGACGAGGTATGTGGAATCTGATTTCACCAAGTCCCTAGATCTTTTCATTCTTACAGACAACAACTCGGAAGTGTCAGAACGCAGCCTCCCGCCAGCCGTCGTATGAGAATCCCATGGCGCGATTAAATGACGACAGTCAACAAGACGTCGATTGCACAGAGATTCTAAGTCCACAACCATTTGCCCTTCCAGGCAAAGGCTTTCTCGTATCCTCCCTCGAGCCCAGCGATGAGCCCTACCCTGCCGATAATGCCCAGATGTCCTCTACCCAAGAATATGAATACAACTCTTCCTCCTCCACCCGCCATTCAACAAGCGACGTATTCGGCCGTGAAATGGACGATGAACTAGAGCAAATGAAATCCAGAGCATCGAGTCGCTCATCACTGTCCTCAGTCCCAGCCTCCGTCCTCATCCACCCAGTCGACAGAATGAAACGAATGGCAAACATGGACGTTCACGAAAAGATAGCCGGCTACAGAATAGAAGAGTCCGAAGCGAGCTTCGGCGACTTCAACGACATACCCGCTAACGTCCGAACCATCCGCCAGCGCGAAGCCGCCTTCCGAAAACCGAGTTCCGTCAGGGCAATGCAGATGCATACAGAAGATGAAGCTGATGACGACGAGTATCTAACGCCCCCGCGCCGACGACAAGGCCTCCGGTCACGGTCACCTGGCCCATCACCACTGAAACGTTCACCGTATTACTCGCCCAATGCACCGAAACAGCCAAAGTCTAGGAAGGAGGCTCCGCTTGTGTTGTTGCACTGCACCCTGCTCCCGCCGTCCATCCCAGTACCTGGAGCATCGGATCCCAGAAACCAGGATATACTGGAAGACGAGCTACCAGCAGAATACTGGAAGCGCTGGCGGCGACTCCAAGACCGCGTTGGATCGGGCGTGTTACGCGATCGCGGTGTGCTAATCTCGCACCCGGAGGACCTGTACGACATTCTAGAGGAGAGGTTGTTGGAGAGTCTTGAGCTGCAACGACCACGTTTGCAGAATGGACACTTTGTGGGTCAGGAGGACCATAGCTCTGGCTCTGGCTCCGAGGGGGATTTCTCCGACATCGGAGAGAGCGAGACGGACGGCGAGCAGGGGGATGAGTGTCCCGATTGTGGGAGCCATGTGCGGCACGGAGACAGTAATCGCAAATGGGAGATTCGGGTGTTTGCTGCGAACGGGCTGATGCGCGCTGGGGCGTGGGCGGCTGCGTGGCGCGATATGGAGAAGGTTGATGTTGAGGTTGGGCTTTGGTTGCCTTCTGATGTGCGCCGTGGCCTGGAGAGGAGGCTTGCGGAGGAGCAGATGGCGGTTGTGCAGCAGGCTCAGAGTCAGATCCCGCACATGCAGATGCAGATGTCGCCGCTGGTCGATGGTGGGCATCAGGTCCCACCCGAGATTCTGCAGTCACCTAGGCAGAGCCATGCTCGCATGATCAGTGACGTTGGGTCTTCCCGGTCTGATGAGATGACGTTTAGGCAGGCTTTCCCTGAAGCTCGAGCTCGGCTCGACCATGCCCCTGAGCTTGGACGGGAGAAGAAGGAACATGAGGTTGCCCTTTCCACTCTTTTCGTCAATTATATCCGCGTTCTGGCGGCCGATAGGCGCCATATTGCCCTGCTTCTTCTTAGTATATTGGTGGCTTTCCTTGCTACCGGGTCTCGCCAGCAGCAAATCCCCGTCTACTCCCATCTTGGTTCTTTTCCACAAGGCTTGTCCCATGATATCCAGCCCTCCTCGGCTATGCCGAGTTTGAGCGTGTCTCCGTCCATGTTTCCTTCTGTCTCCCTTGCGAGCTCGGCCAGTGTAAGCGAAGCAATAGTTATGAGCTCAGTTAGCCCTGTACGGAATCCTGAGTTTGTAGCTGCTAGTGAGAGTGAGGTGATTTCAATGTCTGAGATAGTAAAGCCTACTTCTCTGACTGTTGACTCTCTTGATTCTCATTCTCAGGCTACAGACTGCGTGGGGCCTACAGAGACTACAGAAGCGCCCCAACTGCTGGAGACCACGCAGCTTCAGCTTGAGGACGGCGCAGACGCTTCTTTGGATAACACTTTGGACTCTCCCATTGTGTGTTCAGAGACCTCTCCTTCTTCTATTGACTCTATTGAGTCTGCTGTTCTGTCGGCTGTGCCGATTGAGACCACGCAGACTGAGCCTGAGGGCAACGCACATAATCTTCTGGATAACACCGTGGACTCCAGTGCTGTGCCTGCAGAACCCTCTCCTTCCTCAACTGACTCCGACGAATCTCCTATTCTGTCAGGCACGTATGCAGACAACGAGCAGTCGCGGCTTGAGAGCGAAGCAGAGTCATTCTTAGATGACTCTGTTGAACCTCTCACTATGACTGCAGGGTCTTCTTCTTCCACTGACTCTATCGAGTCTCCCGTTCTGTTGGATGTGGCTACGGAGACTGCACAGCCTGATACTCAAGGCGAAAAAGAAGAGAAATATGAAGAAGACGAACAAACAGATTGATCTTGGGAAGGTACCACTACTTTCTCAAATTTACGACCACGACTGGAACGATATTAGGCGAAATGTTTGGGATTTTTACGAGTTACAATGTTACAATGTCCTTTCCATTTTGGCGTCTTTTGCTGATTCAGCCATAGCCCTTCGTTAGTTGAGTTTTAACTGTTTATATTAGCGAGCCTCATCTGGTCTTTCAACTTCCATAAACTGTATATATAATGCAAGATGTACTGACATGAAACGATGCCAAGCCCCTAGACTTTGATATCTCCACTTTCCAAGGTTGCCCCCGGTCGCTTAGTGATCGTCCCTCTCCAATAGATTAGATATTGGACATCGGATATGGATATTAGACCTGTTCTATATGCACAGCGCTTGAGTGGAGTAATGTAGTAAAGATAAAAGCTAGTTCTTAGTAGCCTGTGCCTGTGCCCAAGACAATGCGACAATGCGGGGCAACCCAATCACAATGAACCCTCTACGTTACATCCCGCACAATATCGATCAAAAGGAAACAGAACAGATGGAAGGCTCGATATTATTGATTATCGATTAAAGGTAAGGTTAGTTGAACGAGTTCGATTTTGTATTGGGCAGGTTCAGGTGTCACTGGCCCAGCGAATTTATCCGTCAACCCAGCATAAGTCACAACCTTCGTAAAAAAGTGCTAATCACGTCCAGACCGTCGTAAGCTTCGTGACAGGAACATCTAGTAATTGCCGCCGTAACCGCCTTGGCCACCCTGGCCACCGTAACCCTGACCACCACTGTAGCCGCCCTGTCCACCGTAGCCGCCCTGGCCACCGCCGTAACCACCGCCGTAGCCTCCGTTGCCGCCACGGTAACCACCGCCGCCGAAGCCGCCGCGACCACCACCACCGGCAGCGCGCTCAGTAGCCTTGTCAACGCGGATCTGGCGACCCTCGAACCTGAAAAAGAGATGGTTGTCAGCGCATGTTTTCAACGGGGAAAGAGACCGTTCACATCGCGCTGGAACAGATGGCGCCTATGATGCGCGACTCATTCCAGCACGACCTTATCAGTCGCTTAAAGTGCAGGGAATGTGATAATCAGCTTGCTTACTCTTGGTTGTTCATGGCGTTCATAGCGGCAGTAGCATCATCGTCGTTAGTGTAGCGGACGAAACCGAAACCGCGGCTGCGGCCGGTGTCACGGTCCTTGACGACGGTCTAGGAAGAAAAATGGGAGTCTTAGGGGGGATGCGATCAGTTATTAGAGTCACAGCGACTCACAGCATCCTCGACAACGCCGAATTCCTCGAAGCGCTGGCGCAGAGTCTCGTCGTTCGTGTTCCAGGAAAGACCGCTAGGAAAGGGACGATCAGCAGGCGGTATGTTAGATATTCAGCCGGGTCGCTCTTACCCAATGAAAAGCTTCGACATTTTGATGGAAATGGGTTGGAGAGATGGGGAGAGAAGGGGGGAAGGGTGTTAGTGTGAAGAGGGGCACAGCCGAGCCTGATCTTAAATACAACCCGGGACGGAACAACATCACCCCACAGATTCCTGATTCCTCGTTTTTCAGGCTCATTTATTTTTGATTTTTGATTTTTGCTTTTAGGGATTTGTTGTGATTTGGGATTATTTGATGTGTACATATGTATGACTTTATGCATACTTGTTTGGGTATATATGTTTACCTCCAGGGCTTATAGTGGACCCATATCCCCACGCTGTCGAGAGAGTCCACTGCGTAAACTCAGCTCACATATGGCACCATATTAAACACGAATATAAATAATATAATATAACAAACCAGAATCAAGAATAATAATAGTATGACGGTGAAACATCAAATTTAGAACAAAGTTATTCTTGTCATGAGACCATTCTCCGATGTAGATCACCCCACCCGTGGATCTTCTCTATAAAATCATCTTCTCTTCCTTAAAAAAGAACCAACTTCTACAACTCATACCTCCAAGTCAATTATCAACATGCCTGTTATTGAAATCACTAGGTAAGCCCACTGCTCCCCTTTGCACAAAGACACAATCCTAATACCCACCACAGCAAAGCCGACTTCCTAGAGAAGATCCTCAGTTCAGAAGACCCCGTCCTCCTCGCCTGCTACGCCGAATGGTGTTCACACTGCAAAGCCATCGCACCCAAGATTGAAGAATTGAGCGACGTCTACATCCAGGTTAAATTCTACAAGGTGGATGTCGATAAGGTTGATGATGTCGGACAGGAGCTAGGTGTGCAGGCTAAGCCTACATTCATGCTATTCAAGGGCGGAGACAAAATCACTGAGATTGTTGGGGCTCACTTGCCTGTCATTGAGGGGGGTATCAAAACTCATCTTATTTGAGTGAGAGGGGGTGGTCGACTTCTCTTTTTTAATCCACCGAGGTGCTTGCGCTCGTGGGATGCATGCCTCCGGTCAGCTGATATGGTGGTCACTTTGTACTGAGATTCCCACCGCCGCGTAGGTGTGTTATATGGGAGTCTGCAACTATGAAATTGAAAGCGAACATGGAGGCAGTGATTTTGCGGCAGTCTGAACAGTAGCAGAGGAATGTGTCGACTAAGCCGGCACTCTGGGTTGGCTATAATTTGCCATTAATGTTGATAGCGCACTATGCTTAGTATTGAGGTATGACCAATATCCACGAAGGCAAGCTGTATGGCGCCGCAATAGCATATAGCCGTCGCTTGGTGCTCTTAGGACCAGCCGTCATCTGCGCCGCCGGCCGGGGGTATGCAGGGTTTGGATTTGTCGATAGGCATTATCTTGTTTGAAGCTGTCGAGTATTGGTGAGGATATAGTGAAGAGTCAATGATATAGATGATCGCAGTGTTGAAAGCCCTTTGGGTGTTCGGTGAGAATACCTAAGTATTATCAAACTTCCAAGGAAGCCTCGGTCAATGCAAAAGCCGCTAGCGTATAATTCAAGTGTCTTCATCCAACAGCTTCTAAGATTATAGATCTCACCATTTTCCCTACTAATGAAGATGTCTATAGTTATACAAAGTCCTCTATATGATTCTACTCAGTGATACTAATATCCCTTTGGGTTGTTACAACATCGACAGGGAAGGCTACCTAAAGAAGACATTAGAGTTTCATCTTACCTATTCCTTTTCTATACTTTTCTTATATTACTGCGTCGTCATACGACAAGTTGAGGTTGATGTCACGATGATCGCTTCATGCTTAATTATTTATATTTCCCCTATAATCCCTCAAATTTTCGACCGTAATCCTATCGATGAAATTTGGCACGCCATGGACACTGAATCGCGATATCCCACGGAGGATCTCCAAATAGAGCCCATGTGCTTATCTTATCTGCTTCTCTTGTCTAGATGGTATCACGCACGATTATCCTTGGATGGCAAGTTATCGAGCGGGTAAGTCCACTGTCGATGGGAGGTATAGAATTATCCCGTCAGACTCAACGTTCATAGTGTATTTAACCCCCGACGGAACCCAGTTGTGGGATGTTGCTATAGCGGAGTTTGCCTGGCTCGATGAGCTTGATGTTAGTCCGAGCGATTGGGATCCTGAGAAATGTGGCCCTTGGTATGTTATGGCACAGAGCCATGAGGCTTTCTTGTTTCATGAGGCTTGTTGGTCCCTCTTGATCAAGCATTTTGAAGACGAAGAAGTCAATTTAGATAGGCTTTTCGAAGTCTGCAGGAATATCCCTGGCTCAGGAAGAGATGTCGGAGGTGAGCTTTTTATTTCTACGAGTATGATAATACTGATTGACACCTATGCGCATAGCTCTACATAAAGGAGGCAGCAGAGAATATTCATGGCATCCACTAGAGCGACCTATTATCCGGGGGATTGGAGACGCCACGAAAGAACTTCCGAAAATAAAACGTGGAAATACAGACTCTAGCAACAACCCCACTTTTGGGACTGACTGCTTCGGCTTACTCGCGATGGAGATACGACTTGAAATCGCATCTTACCTTCCTACTGTCGATTTCTTCAGCCTTCGATATGCCTCCCGAGTGATGGCACTTCCTTTTCAACTCCAGTCACCCTGGAAGACGAGATTCCGAGTAAACGGAGGCCGTGGGTTTCTAGCCTGTCTAGTCGAGGCGCCCCAAAGCCGTAAAAGAACTAACTGGCGATTGATCCACCATTGTACGGCAAGGATCAACCAAGCACTTCTTCACTCTGGTCCTTACGCCGACTTTGAAGGAACAATCAATGGCTAGCAGACAGGTGTTCGATGGTTGAAGCCTTCGATGACCAAACTAGATCCCAGAATAATTTGCTTAGCCAAGTATCCTGGAAGGAGGCTTCCACTAAGATACGGTGCAATAGAACTTCCGCTCAGGGGCAAGATCCCACTAAGTGTAGAAGCTGCTTGGGATACCACACTGCCGTTGTGCAAACCGTTTCACTGCAGAAAATTATCGGCTTGGCCGTGTCCATCTTACCTGAAGGAACAAAAACCTATACCACTGGATTTGATCTGATAAGTACAGATGCGGGAACCCCGAACACCTTTTTGGGGTGTCGGCTACCAGGGAAGCAAGTAACAGTCAACCTCCACGGCCAGCAAGCACGGGGATTCAAGGTTTTCTTAGGTGAGGGTGGAATTCAGGCGATACGTCCATCTTCAACACCGACATTATTACGAGTTGGATAGGTTAGCCAGAGGGTAAATGTGATTACAAATCCACACAGATCATTTCCACACAGCTCATTTTAGAGGATGACATCAAAGCTACTTCGGGAAAGTTCGATGTAAGTCAGTTCTGTCACTAGGAGCAATAAATATAGCCGGAGGTTAATCCCAAAATAGTATTGCAAGATGGTTAGTATGCGCATAGCATAGATCGACCAGGCCCTTTTCGAGCTCAAAACTGTATATTCTCAACTATAATTTTATTGTTGTAGGCATTCATATAGATATTGCTGAAACATTGGGCATTACATATGCCACTGTCCCATTATCCCATGTACATTAACACAATACACCGTGCAACCTACAACAAAAACCAAATCAAACATCGCACCAAAAATGGGCTCAAAAGTCCAACCTATATACTCCCCCGACATCTATCCCTCATTATACCCGCATCTTTTCCATATCCCGTCCAAACTCGACTAAAAACCAGCAGTAATCCTATAAGGCAGCGGGACGGTAGGCCAAGCATCAACCCCATCCAATATGGCCAAAGCCATCCCGCCACTCTGATGAACCTGAATATGACAGTGCATTATGAACGCACCGGGATTAACAACATGATACCTGAGAACCGTCCAGCTCAGCCCCGTTACAGTCTGCACCGTATGGAAGGTATCACGATACTGCGGTGTTTGCAGATTAAAGTTACCAGGAACAGCCTGTACGGCTTCCGCGACTGAATTCCAGGTGAAAGTACCATTTCCCTGACCGATGATAAAATGCTTATTCGAGTGCTTGTGGATCGGATGCGGGGGCTGGAGAATAGTATCAGTTTGAAGAATCAAGTCGATCCAGGTATTATTCTTCGTTCTGATGACCAAGTCACTGGGAATGGAATTCTGGTTGAAGAGCAAGGGCTGTGATTCCTCAAGCTCCAGGCCGTAGCTGGTATTACCGAGTCTCCAACGGTAGGCGGTGCCCACTTGGTTGATATGCAGGAAGAAGGTTTGTGCGATATTGTTTGAAGGGACGAGTGCCGGGAACGGGATGACGCGTGACTCGTCCAGGAAGACGGTGTCTGGCCTGGCGGGTGCGTTGTTGATTTGGATCCACGGGTTGGATGGGCGGGTTAGCTGGCGCAAGCCTTGGTATCGCATTATTGCGGTTGTGTTGAGGATCTGGTTTATGCTGGCGCTGACCATGCGCACTGTGTAGTCTCCGGCTGGCTGGGTGAGGGGAATAAGCACGGAGTAGCGATTTGAGTTCGGGATCGTGACTGCGTTGACTTTTCGAGGCTGGATATATCGTCCGTCTATGGCGTAGACCCACATGTCGTGCTCGTCGACTGAGAAAGTGAGTTCTAGTAGACCGGCTGTGCTGGTGAGATCCCAGCTTACGTATTGATGGGCTGCATTGACAGTAAAGATCTCTTGGGGACCTTGGGATGGTACACAGCCTTCGAACATGGTTGGGCGAATGGCGTTGTAGTTGTGTGGGAAATTGAATACTCTTTCAGTGATGTTGGGAGGGAAGCATCTAGTGATCAAATTAGTTTATCGATCAGGATCACCAATAATAGGCACTGAAACATGACAAGACAATCTACTCACGCAAGATCTGTTAATCTTAGATTATTACCTAGACTCGTTTTCTGAACGTCTGTTGTAAGGGCATCAATCTCAGCACGTGGCAGGCAGGTGATGGACCCTTTGCCATTAATGAGCAAAGCATTGGCGCAGAATGAGTCTGTGCCGGAGGCCAACTCGGCAGCCCAGATTTCCTCCGAAGTGAGAACACGCCAATCCGAAAGCAAGACGGGAGAGGTCACACTCTCTGCGCGGATCATAGCCCTCAGCTGAGCAGGATTGGTCGTGATAAGACCGAAAGGCTTTTGCACTGAGGGGGCAGGGGTGATATAGATTGGTCCAAAAAGCCCGTCTTCGAGAGAGCCACGGTGATGCGCATGATACCAGTAAGCCCCGTACTCGGTTGCTGTCCATTTATATAGGAACGACGTGTTTGGTCTAATTGATCTCTGCGAGACACCGGGGACTCCATCAGACCAAGGAGTTCCCAGTTGTTCAATTCCTAGAAGATACCAAGTCAGTATGTGTATGCTAAACCAGATCAATGTATCCAACAGCCTACCGTGGAAGTGTACAGTTGTATTGAACGGCAAACGGTTGTCAACGAGGAACTCAACATTGTCACCCTGGTTGATCCGCAGCGGGGGAGCAGGAAACTGGCCGTTTGTTGAAATAACCGGCCTAGACACTCCTGCGACGGTTCTGTTCGCCCACGTCAAAGTAACTGGAAAGAACACCGTAGCTGCAGATGTCCATTGCACGAGGCATAGAAGCCAGAGGGACAGGCTTCCTAGAGGGAACTTCATATCTAAGGATTACACTTGACTGGGAAACTGTATCAAGTTGAACGGCCTACTCTTAATATCCTATACTTTTCACGGGATTCCTACCCTTTTATGTGGGCCTAGGGAGAGCATGGAACCTTGCGTGAGCATATGCACCTCCGAGCTTTCATGCGGGTCCATCACGCCAGATGCAGGATTTCCATGGGAGTCTCGTCCTTGCGAGCTCGTAAAGATGGAAAGCAAAGGAATGAGCTGTCCATACTTTCGTCGGGGACCAATGTAATCCCCAATCCACCCGAGCATTAGCGTGTTGATCTTGGGTCTTGAAGCCTGCTTTGCAGCTAAGCCAGTAATCCAAGGCAGCGGCATTAGCTCGTATGCTTTCATTTCAAGCAAGGGACGTGATTGGGAACAGCAGGCCGACTCCGGACGAATGAAAGACTCAAAGCCTCAAGATACCCCCATTCAGATGTCGGAGACGGTAGTCCCGAAGAGCAGCTTGGCAGTGCTGTAGGGATGAACCTCCGAGGAAAGAGTTTGCACCTGCTTATGTGTAATCATAAAGCTCTAAGCGGGCAGGTCTAAGACATGGGACCCTTTGCGCTTTGGCACGTTGCTGAGGTGGTATATCCGGGACGAATGGCGCATGCTGGGCGCAAAGTTTCCATAGACGTGGTCAGAGTTTCGGTACTCTATATGTCGCACGGTCGACAATAAATATCACTGGTCTGATCAAAGAACTGTCGGTCTCGGTCATCATCGGACTGTGAGTCAACCAGTCACAAATCAGGTTTCATCGAACCAGCGTCGGCCAAAACCTCAATCCCGAACTTACCACAGCGCCACGTGCTGATAACTGAATCAAGGTACCAATTTTCAGGATGAAACGAAAGCTTAGGTGAGGGAGAGTACACAAGGGAGCTGGGGGGAATGGGTTCCAAATCGAACCACCCGCCACAAGAGTGACGCGTAGAACCTGCCTGTATGGAGCTAGGATCTGAAACAAGAGAAAGATGGAAAACGTCAATTGATTTGTGGTATTATCGAAAAAGAGATTAACATCCAAATTATATGCTATGAAATAAGCAATATTGCAACAATTTTGTAAAGTCAACTTTTTGCCATGTATGACCTGACGTGGCGCAGGCAAATAGCCATCAAAGACATCAAAAGTTGCCATTGCCAAAGTACCCTGGCATGTCATCATTGGTAGCATTCGATGCAGGAGGGTGGTCCACTTTGGAATTGAAAATACCAACCTGGTCGGAAGCAGACACCTCACCCATACGAGACGGCGAGATAGGCTGACCAAGTAAGTCTCTGTTTGGCCACCCTTGTCCCCCAGAGACTTTTTGACCATCTAGATGCAAGCCTTCCAAATCATCCGGGTTGATTTCACCGTAGCTGGCATTCAGTCGTTGTAGGAATTCTGGGTCAAATCCCATTTGTACCAGAGGGTCAGCTGTGCCTTCTCCCGGTACAGACGCAGTAGTCGGAAGACTACTAGCCCAATCCGTAGAGAAGGGCGGATCAGGACCAGCCGACATCATCCCTGCACTACCAGCGTAACTGCCTGATAAACTACCCGGGCGGCTAGGCCCAGCAGAAGAAAAGCCAGTACCAGGAAAGCCGTGGCTTCGAAGACTAGGGCTAGATACAGCAGGGCTGTGGATGGGGGCCCCGTGGCATACTGTTCGCGCTAGCACATTGATCTCCCGGGGTGCAGCCCGAAGGCCGCCATTGATAGCGAATGGGGGCTGCATACCCAGATCAGCAAACTGGATGCTGTCGTTGTTCACAGGAGTTTCTAATCCACAATCGCGCTTGAGGACGCCCAGCCAAACAATATTATCTGCACAAGTCTGATTCCAAGGATCGTCACATCCATAGATGACACGGCGAGCTTCCGCTTGTATCATCTGATCTGATGGAATAACACCTTGTGCCTTTTGGTTATGGATGTATGTAGTGAGTTCGCGAGAAAGCCGATGGTAACAATTGATATCCGTAGGGACAGGAAGCCTTAGTGTGCTGCCATCTCCTTTAGCTTGCTCAGTAGCCCAGGGATCAGGGGACCGCCATTCATAGTCAATCATGTACGGCGGAATGGCGTTTTCGACGCGAGCTTGAATCTGCGGGTCAAAGCCCCAGTCCCCTTGCCATTGAGCCATGCTGGCTCCATTTTTGAAATGACCGGCCAAGTGGTCCACTCGATCTTTCCATGTTTGGAAGAGGGAGCCACAGAACCCACAGCGGGATTTGATATCTGTGATACTGCTTTGCCATTTCTCCATGCAGGTTTGGAACTTGGCATTATGCATCAAGCGGAGGTGTTGGTTGAGATGATCCTTTCGGTAGAATGTTCTCTCTTGCACTGTCTTCTCTTGGCAACTGATGAAGTTATGAGTTTCTAGGTGTTCATCGTCCGGATTAGCTGCCAAGCAGAAGGCACAAAGAGGTATACCGTTCTGTTCAATTGCACCGCCGTGGGGGGAGCAGGTCCATTTGTCCAGGATTAGATGCATGGACTTCTCGTGCCTCTGCCAGTCGTATTTAGCAGGGAATGAGTCGGTACAGAAGGTACATTGGTAAGGACGAGCAGATTTGGCCTTCGAATGGGCCAGAGTATTGACAGGAACTGAGGGCTTGCGACGGCGACGACGTTCTTTGCGATCCATTGAGCCAAAGGAAAGAGAGGATCGATGAGAGAAGGCAGACGCAAAAGAGAGATCAGAAATAGATGAATCAAAGCTACTGGCAGAGGCGGTGCACAGTTTATGTTCGGAGCTGGCATGGCTTGACTCATTGTTACTAGACCCAGGGCGACGGGGCCTCACGTGACTCGATGGGCCCCGGTGTGCACGCGAGGGATCGAATGGAGGATTGGCCAGGGCACGGGTAATATCGCTGATCGTAGCCGGTTCGTTTTCGGGGGGAGAGTACTTCCAACGCTCAAGAGGAGTCATAAGGGATACGTTGACTGATTGCTTCATGGGGATGTCCACAGCCCCTGGAACGGGAGAACTGGTCCCAGGCGACGCACGAACTTTGCCGCGTCGCCTGGCATTAGCGAGCCAATTCGCAATTTGCGTCCGAGTTAGACCAGTGAGTTGTTTCAGGTCATCTCTCTCTTGCTCGGTAGGATAAGGGTTCTCATTGTGGTCTCTGAGCCAGCCCTTCAGGATATTGATTGCCTTGCGCGAGAATCGAGCACCACTTTTTTGAGAGCGGGCATCTGAATCATTGGTCTTGTATGAAACTGATTTGAGGGCTTTCTTTCCCGTCAGGCTACCTGTAGGAACATAGGCATTCTCTGACACGCTATGCAAGGTCTGGAGGAACTTGCCAGGCGTTTTAGCATGAGTAAAACTGCATTCACGCCAAAGCGAGATGCAACAAGTACAGCCATAATTCATTATACCGCGCTTCGCAACAAAACAGTCCAGTCCCATTCGTTGGCAAAAGTCGCACGGTTCCTGGGCCCGAAACATGGGGTAAACCCCGTCGGGGTCAATGGGTTGTCCGACATTCAGTTCGGACTGCTCCGGTACCGGGTCATTGGAGAACTCCAATGTGTGATCGTGAACCAGCGAGTTGAAGTTCGCTGCCTGTTCTTCGGCTTCGTCGAGTTCAATATCAATCGAAGCGACATCATCGTCTTGCTGATTAGAGCCGTGGGCAGACGAGGCGCCTTCGAAATCAAAATACTCCATATTGTTGATGATTCCAATGGGAAATGCTGCGCAGAGAACAGCTTTTCGGGACCAACAGAACGATGGAACAATAAAGGACACGGTAGAAAGTAGGAGAAGAGTCGGTCAGACGAAAACTGGCCGAAAGTACCCTTCCAAGGTTGGTCCGGGGTAGAAAGGTGGGTGAATAATCAATTTGGGTGGAGCTCCATGACCTTCGAACTCGAGGTGGGCACCATTCAGCCGCTGAGATTCCCGGTGACTCGGCATGGACCGCCCAAAGGCAAACCCCGTATGGCTGACTTTTCCATGATAAGCATCATTGTCACAAGGAATAAGAGCATAGCACATGTTCGCGTATCCACCGCATCGCTCAAACTCCGATGACAGAAGAAGAAGTTAATTCGAGGAAGTCCACGCGGAGTTGATCGGACAAAGGCTTCGAGTGGTCAGAAATCAAAACGGACCCAAAATGGATGCGTCGGCACGCCCTTCGAATGACAACGCTAAGCCTATCTAGGTTAAGTTCTGTCGATGTGGGGTTGTTGCCAAGCCCTGTGATTCATCTCTCTCCGCGATATCGGAGGCTTGTTGTTTTCTTTATATATGTGTTGTGTAAAAAGTATAACTCCTATCTCATCTATATATTTAACATTATCTTGTATACGGATACGAGTAGAGGCATACATTTTAGCTTAGCATCACAGGGCTGGACCTACACTTGGAACGGCCGAGGTCCCCATTAACGAACGCCGACACCCACGAACTATGTATAGAACTGGGGCAGTTCAACCTCAGATGTCCCTTTCTGTGTTGGATTGTATGCCCAAACTTCTTACTGCAACTCTTTATCCCTTTCCTTGCTCTTAGCTCTCTCGGCTACATCGTTCGCTAGCCCGGACTGCAAAATCTCACCTGCTTATTCGTCATGACCTTCTCATGATGAGTGAGGCGCCCTATTGGAGGAGTCCTGATCAAGACTGCCCCGGTTGTCTCATCTTTCTATCATCACAACCTGTTTAATAGTCCGATGATTGTACAGACCTGCAGAATAAATGGTCATATGCACATTTCATGCCGCCTTACCTGAGAGTATTGACTTTCCAATCTGGACAAACAGCTACTGCCTGTCAAAACACAGAGGGAAAAGGCTGCAGCGCTTCGCGAGGGGCAACACTCGCCTTTTGCTTGCGGGCCTGTTGGTCTGACCAATTAGTGGCCTCCCACAATATATGGTGAATGCTACGGCGCTCCTAAAGGAACATGATACTAGTAGCCGGTATGTTATTACAATTATTGGTACAATTACAAGTCTCATTTGCTCATTTTGATATGAGTCAACTGGGGCATACGCACTTCCTATGTGGACGCACAATTTCAAACATACCAAAGGTAACCGGGCCGGGCTGTTGCAAGATCGCAATGAGACAGCAGATGTTTTATTGTACGGCAGCGTAAATAACTGAGGCTCTTTCTACACCGCAAGGTACCGTTATAACAGAAGTGTTGTTGGTGGTGAAGATGCTACTGTAGGACTCGAGGGCTTGATCATCTAGAACGGTGGCTATAGATATTTATCTAGCCACTAGGACTTTTAGATCGGATCAAGTATACTAAGTCGCCGTGGCCCCTGCCGATAGCCGACTTCTCGCCGCGAATAGAGTGTAGGGGATCCTTTCCTTCTATGCGGCTAGAAAGTCTAATATAAGTGAAAACGTTGAAGGCGTTATCCAAGGTCATTCGGATCTTAGACGATGGATTGCTTGGCAACGTTACCGCATACACTAAAGAAGCACAATGGCACTAGGCTGCAGTGAGACTCCACCTAGCGTCATAGTGATCGGGTTCATTGGTTTCAATACAACAAGTAACCACACGGACACCATTGTTAACAAGCCAGCAAATCGGGTCAATAACATTGGCCCCGGTAACTACTACCTAGACATTTCGATTGAACTAGCGCCTACCCAGACCTACTAGTCCTTCGTCAAACCAGATCCTTTGCTCAGCAACACCACCGGTGCTGTCAGCTTGATGACCAGCCGCTGATCGGTCGGATTGAACTATCAGACATTGCCTAGGACAAATTGACTGTGCACCCACAGTAGGTCCTAGCTTCTGAAGATCCGGAAGCCGGAACATTTTGTTGTTCGGTTTATAAGGAGGTTGTGGGCCTGCTAGTGTCCCAGAGCATAGGTGCGGTAGCGCTCTTTCTGCTTGGCGCAGCGCATATGCTCATGTTTTCACGCTGGGCGCATTACCCAACGCAACGGGTGACACAAGCGAGTCCTTCGAAGCTGCTGCTGATTACTATAAATCCTTCAAGAACCTACCTAGAGAAGATGGGCACCCGACACTAGGTCCTATATGAACGAAGGTATCCCGTTCAGTCGCACCTAGAAGAAAGATTTCTACGGCGAACACTACGACAGTCTTCTTTCGGTCAGCCGCAATTGTGATCCTTCTGAGAGCTTTTTTGTCTGAAGCGGTGTCGCAGTGACCTCTGGAGCAGATATGGGAACTAGTCTGCTATGCCGAGTGGCATCGTGAACAGGGAAAGACATCCTTTTGGAAAAGCGAGACCTTTGTGCTAGGCGCTTTTTTTTTTTTCTTTTTTTCTTCTCTCTATCTTTTTATCATTGTATGAGATGGGAGAAAAACCAGATATGGTTTTGCCCTCTGAGTGTCCCTTCCTTCGT